CAATCCCAGCTACTCAAAAGGCCAAGATCTGAGGATCAGAGTTCAAAACCAGCCAGGGCAGAAAAGTCCATGAGACTCTTATCTCCAATTAACCACCAAAAAACTGGAAGTGGCACTGTAGCACAAGTGGTAGAGCACTCACCCTAAAGAGTGCAGGGACAGTGCCTAGAGCCAGAGTTCAAGCCAAATAAATAAATAAGCAATCTTTAAGTACATTAAACTTTAATGTTCTTATAATTTGACTAACATTTGTCTGATTCAAACTAAGCATAAATACCTTCAATTTTTATCTTCAAAGTACTTTATTTTTAGAACCTTTCAAAATTATACACAATAAGCCTCTTTTCAAGTCCTTTTGGCCATGATATAAAGCCAAAGTATCTATCACGATACACCATCTTTGGATAGATGGGAAAGGTCTCTATTCTTTACCTGCAAGTCTTTAGCAATGATATCACCCTTACTCTTCAATCTATATTCATCATTATGATTTTGGTCTTCTGCTTAATGAATAAACATTTTAATATTGCACAGAAGAGTATATCTCACCTAGAAAAGATAGACCACCTAAAATAGCCAGCTTTGGCTTTGTAGTATAATGAAGCCAATATTCTTTGTTGGTAGATCTTCAATCCTCCATAGCACAGATCTGTAAGTTTTGACCCACACAAATCAAATCCAACCTGCCTCTTGTTTTTATCTTCATGCAAATTCCATTGATCACAGTTACTAAAAGAACACGTGACTACAAAACCTAAAATATTAACTAGCCTGTAACAAAAAATGTTTGCCAATCCTTCCTCTGTACAATAAGATGTCAGAGGGAGCACAAGACTTCAAGAACTATCTCCAAAGCACAATGGAATGGGCAGCTGCTAAGCTACACATAGACTTTGATGTGATCTACTGCTAAGACATGTACAAACACACTCTCCAAGGCTGACTAATCATCTCATATTAATCCCAAAGTTGTAAGGCAAAACACTTAAGTTACCGCTCCCCTACTATCAGAGTCCCACCTTTCTCACAGTTATTAAAAGACTGACTTTTCAGTCCATCTAAAGGATTCCACCAACATAAGAAAATGTTGTGGAAAGCGGAAGAGAGAAGGTCCCAACGCAGCATATATCCTAATCCCTACACCCGTACCCTAGAATCATTGTGACCTTTCTCCTGGCCAACTATCTGTTCCCAAGAGGGATCTTCCAATCAAATACTCTCTTAGGAAGCCAAAGAAGCTCTACAGTGGTTCTAAAATCAAAACACAAAAAGTGTCAGTACTTGCAATCTTTAATCCTTGTTATAAAGTCAACACCAGATGCTAGCCACAAAAAGTCTAAATATTTTTAATGTCAGATTTTTTTTAATAAAAAGGTTTTCTTAAAAACAAAAAAAGTAAAGCACTCTCAGCACTCCTTGCCAACACAGGGATATCCCCTCCATTGTATGGGACACAAAGACGCACACCAACTGCAAGCAAGGGAAATAGCATTCCCTGTCAGCTATTTTTAGATCCACTTGGTAGTAGTAAGACCAAACTTAAGATGACCATTAATACAAGGTAAACTTTTAAAATATGAATATAGGGAAGCAAATCTGCCCATTTACTATAAGTTCTTTAACAATGAAATTCTGTTTGCTGAACTTAATCTCAGAAAATGGAATACCAGATTAAAAATCTATAGCTGTTCCAAAAATACAAAATCATATGCCATAGGACTAAAACAGTGGTCATGTTTAAAGGCTGCTCCTTCCTTTTCAAATACTTTTCAAGTATTATCCACTTATAAAATATCTTTTTCATTGAGGAAGAGTCTCATCTAGTCTCTGCTCTTACTGTTTATTTGCTTGGTCGAACACAAATCCTAGCTCTCAAAATAAAAATACCCATTTTTCAGTTCTTCACTTGCTATGTACAATTTCAGAAACGTGTTTTGAAAATCTCCTAACACTATCAGCCTATCACTCATTAAACTATTTCACTGTCTTGAAATTATCAGTATCTAACTTTTAACTCAAAAAGTAACATCTAAAACAAAGTGCACTGCCCTGTTTCTGAATTCTTTCTTAACAAGAAACTACTGGCACACTAAAATATTAAAGACATCTTTTCCATCCCTCCTCCTGATAAGCCCCTAGACAATGTCAGTTCCCCCCCCCCAAAAAAAAGAAAAGAAAAAAGAAACACACAAAAAAAAAACAAAAATCCTAATCTTTGAGATAAAATGTAATCATCTAAAACTACCCTCTCAGGAACATTGATGTAAACTGCTTGTTGGGCCATAAGAGAGCATATACAGTCTACACAAACACAAATTGGCCTGGAACTCTACTCAGTAAACCTTCCTCTCACTGGGTGCCAGTGGCTTACACCTATAATCTTACTAGGAGGCTGAGATCTGAGGATCCATGTTCAAAGCCAGCCCTGGCAGAAAAGTCCATGAGAATCTTATCTCCAATTAACCACCAGAAAACCAGAAGTGGTGCTGTGGCACAAGTGGTAGAGCACTAGCCTTGAGCTGAAGAGCTCAGGGACAAAGCCCAGGCGCAGAGTTCAAGCCCCATGACCAACCAAAATAAAGACAGAAAGAAATAACCTTCCTCTATAGGGATTTCCTTCACATCAATCTAACTTCTTAATCAGACCTGTCTTCTATTCCTTCAAATTCTAAAAGTCTTGATTTTGTCTCCATGTGATCTTTTCTCCCTGAAACATACATTCTCAGATTCAGCTCCAAATAATTCTGTGTAGTGTAGGACAAAATCAACATTTCCCTAATGAAAATACACAACTACATTTACAACTATAAGACAGGAACCAAACACATGGACCTGGTATATAGTGGTCTTAAATTAGTATTGGTCCATTTTCCCTTTCCTACAGATTTGAACAATATGTATTTGATTGCTTCTGCCACCCATATACATATCAAACATAGATACACAAAATATTGTCATTTCTACCCAAATATTCAAAACAACATTACCATGACTGTTAACCAAATTACAGTCAAAGCAATACAAGTCCTAAAGTAAGTAAGCAATTCTGAACAGGTACAAGCTACACTCAAATGGTAGTTTTATGACTTATGCTCCACTCCAAGTATCAGCCTATAAAGATGAGATTTCTCCATCATCTTTGGAAAAAGTGGAATATATAACTTTTTCAATGTCATAAAATAAGGAAACATAACCAAAAACAATTTTTCCAATTATAGATCTAACCTTACATCCCACTACCAGATATTTTCATTCAAGTTCTCATTTAAAATACAATGTATGGTTCTTACAAAAGCTTAAGAATAACAAAGTACATAAACTAAGCAAAACAGAAGTTCCAGGGCAAGGCAAAACTGTCAAAGAACTTGTTCCAAGAAAGCACTGAGAAAGAGGACAGTAGAGAAATCAACATCTACAAAACCAGGAAGAGATAAGGTCAAACCTGATTTAGCATTTCACAAAACACAAACTCCGATCTCATCTTGGAACTAGGAGGTAAGTCTAAGACAATATAAAAGCTAGTAAGTTTACAGAACTGTTATTTTAAGGAGGTAAAAGTTTTGGATAATTACATTTAAGAAAGTTTAAATGAATTCACTCATGATAAGGAATGGAAAAATTTGAATAGATAAGCACAGATTTCTATTCATTCCCACAAAGCATCTCTAACCCTAGCAAATTAGTAAGGGTTAGCAAAAGTCCACATTTTAGTTGTTCAGATGGACCAGAATTCTCCATCTACACTACCTATGCCTTGTTACAGAATATTCCACTGGGTATTTAACCTTTAAGGTATTTAAGTTAATCCTTAAATATGTGAAGTGGTAGTTGCTTTATGTGTATACTAGTACTGGGGCTTGAAGTCAAGGCCTGGGCACTATCCCTTAACTCTTACATTCAGTGTTCTCATTCTACCATTTGAGCCACACATGGCTTTTTGGGGGTTAAATGAGGTTAAGAGCCTCACAGACTTCCCTCCCTGGGATGGGCTGACCTCTAAAGGATGCTCAGATCTCAGCCTCTTGAGTAAGCTAGGGTTACAGGTAGAAGCCACCGGGTAACCAGCATTAATTATTTTACACACTTTTACTTTGGTACCCTGAGAAAATACCTAGAATACAAGTCAAAAATTTTATAGCCTTCAACTTTAAAGTAATAGGGGGGGGAAAAAAAACATTCTTAACTGAGAGGTAAATATAATCAGTCTCACACCATATTCACAAGAAAAAAAAAAACTGCTGTCAAGTAAAACACCATCACTCAAAAAAAAAAAAAAAAAAAGTTGTTGGATGAAAGGGCAAGGGTAGCAACTTTTATAAAATGACAAAGACAGTCAGCTCTGTCCCCATTATAAGTCCCCAGTCAGTAGTGATTAAGAACTGAATTTCCTAAGCAACTTAAATCTGTTGGAGTCCTCTTATAAAGAGGAATTGTGGAGTCAGGAAGTGATAAAGAAAACCTTATACCAATAGGTACTAATATGAAAAAACAAATCAGTTATCCTCTCAAGGAAAACTAAAAGGAAAAAAGTGTTTTTCTTTTACTTTCGAGGGTTCAGACTGTAAGTGGTTCCCACGTGGGAATCCAAAAGTGTTGCCCAGAAACAACTGCCACGCTATATCACAGCCGGTGTAGCAGGAAAAGGTACAGTACAGAGATATCCTTTGTGCGCACAGAGGCTATGGCTTCCTCAATTTCCATTTGCCAATTACTTGCCAGAAGAAAGGTGCGTATTCCCACTCTGGAGCAGTCAGAACTCCTCAAAGATCATCCTGTACCCTGCAAGCTACGAGGTTTACAAAGCACAGAGCTACCTACTGTCTTCTCTTCTGTGCCAAAGAAAGGGACACAAGAGATCTTCTCACCTCTACACACCAACCCTCCGGCAACACACTCCAACCTCCCCCCACCCCCCCCCCCCCGCCAAAAAAAAAAACTCACAACCAGCTGCGGCAACTCCCACTTTCCATCCCGCCGTTCACCCTCCCGAGGCTACTCACGCTGTGGGGATGAGCCGCAGCGCCAAGAAAGTAGCTGGAGTTCCCTTCCTCCTTGGGACCGCGGGGACAGCTGGGGAAGGCTGGGCGCGGAACTGTGCAAGAAGCGGTGCTGCCGTGGCTCCGTCGGCCGGCCACCCCGGTCTCTTCCGCGCGGCCAGCGGAGGTGGCGGCGGTCCCTCTCACCTCCTCTTTTCCTCTTCCTGGGTCTCAGGCTGGGGCTCCGGCCCGTCCAGGGCCACTTGTCCCGGGACAGTCACGTTTGGAAAGCTCCGGATTTTGTTTTTATAAAGTTTCCTCTGGGCGGAGGCTGCAGCCGGCCCCCCGGTTCCCCCCCGGCCCCGCCGCCCGGAGGGCTGGGGCGGGGGAGGGGGCTCTAAGAACTCCCGGAGTCCAGCCGAGGAGCCGGGGGGCCGGCGGCTGGCCGAGGGAGAAGACCCCCCCCGGAGGGGGTGGAGGGGAGGGGAAGGTAGGGAAAGGACGACGGCGCCGGTCCGGCTCTCCCCGCCGCCGCTTCACATCGGGGTCCCCGCCCCCCAGGGCGGGGGGTGGCTGCCCGGCTTGGGGTTCCGACTCATACACTTCGGAGCGCGATGCTACGGCCCCGGGCGGGTGGCTGAGGTAGCGGCGAGGCTGGGGACCCGGCCGGCTCCGCTCGGCGCCGCCCCCGCTCCCGGCTCCCGCATGTGTCGCGGCGGCTGGGACCCCCCTCCCGACACCTTGGGGGTCCTTCGCCCCAAGCCCCGGGACGAGGCAGCGATTCCAGCCCCGCCTCAGCGTCCTCTCACCGCGAAGTAGCTACCAGTCCCGGCCGAGCGCGGCAGCCGCCTCCCTGCCCCCCTGCCGCCGGCTCCGGCTCCGGCTCCGGCTCGGGCTCCGGCTCCGGCGTGTGCAGCCGCCGCTGCCGGCCGGGAAGGTGAAGGGGGGGAAGAGGAGGGCGGCCGCAGCTCCCGCTGGCCCGGGTTGGGGCAGAGGTCTCGGCGGCGGCCAGCGCACGGTGGCCGGGTCCCTCAGATGCCCTCTCGCGCTCACTACCTCGGCGGCGGCGGCAGCGGCGGCGGCGGCGGTGGCGCCCGAAGCTCCGCTCGCTGTCTGCCTCGCTCGGTGCGGAGCTCTCGCCTCACTCCAGAGAGAGGGGCGGGAGGAGAGCGGCGCAGGCGGATGACGCAAGTCGCCTAGCAACCACTCTCCGCCCCCTCCCTTCTCTTTCCGCTCCGAGGCTTCCACCGCTGGCCTTTTTTCCCTCCACTCCAGCCACCCCGCCCTGGGCGACTCCGGCGCTTCTTGATGACGTTTGAAGGGAAGAGGAAGTCGAAGATCGGCGAGCGGGTGGGTGCGCCTCGGGCCGCGGGACTCGCCGCTGCGGCCGCCGCCGCCGCCGCCGCCGCCGCCGCCTCCACCGCGGCCGCCGCCACCGCCTCCACGACCGCGTCAGAACTGAAGAGAGGAAGGGGAGGAGCCCGGCGGAGCCGGAGCCGCCGCCCGACCTCGCCCCTGACCCGAGGGCGGCGGGGAGAGGTTGTTCGGCGGCGGTTTCCTCCGGGGAAGGTGGGGGCTGCGCCACCTGCGAGCGGAGGCCCGGGCCGCGCGGCCGGACTCCGTCGCGCACCACCCCGAGGTGAGGCATTCGGCCACCACCGGGACCTCGAAACGCCGGATCGATGGAGAAGTGGTCTGGCAGCCCGGGTGGGTGCACCTGCTCCGGGGAGCGGGCGCCCCACCCTTCCCGTGTGGTGGCGCGAGACCTCGCGGCGGAAGACTTGTGGTCGGCCGAGCAGATGTTTACTCGGCGAATGAATGAGTGAGTGAGTGAATGAATGAGTGAACCGCACTAGTGGAGCTCGGAGATGATGGAGGTGCAAGCACGTGGCGAAGATGCGAGCCGCGAGGCTCCCCCTCCACCTTCCCCCCCCCCCCCCCCGTTCCCCCAGCCCCCTAGCCGGGGAAAGGAAACGAGTGCGACTTGAGTACGGAGTCACCACCTTGGTGTTCCGGAAGAAGGAGGCGAATTGTCGGGGCGGGGGAGGGGGTCTGAAGAGAGATTCCTCCTCCTAGGTATCACAGAGGGAATTTCGACTGTATTTCCAAGAGAAAATGTAGTAGTGGCTGCCATTTAAGAGTCACTCTGTTTACTGTTTGGGGCTTTGGAGAGCCGGATCTTGGTTTGTTGGGGGTTTTTTGTCATTGCCCCTTGCAGTCGTCTAGAAATTTTGGCCTGTGCCTCAGGCCTGACTGAACTATTTGTGAAATAAATATCATTGCAGTTTGCCAGTTAACCAGCGATGTTGCTGTCCTGGAAAGTAAATTCAAGTTTAAAAAAATTCAAAAACAACTCATGGAATGTAGTGTAGTTCTCTAGGAATATTTTGAAAGGACAACCACCCTCAAAACTATGTGTCAAACCTGTTCTGCTGAGTAGTGTGAGCATGAGACTAAAGCAGCAGCAATGAAGAAAAGGAAAAAAACAAAAACCAAGGCTTGGGAGCCGCTGTGATGGATATTACAAGTCTCCACCTGAGGTAGGGAAATAGGAACAAGTGTGTAATAGAGTCGAGAGGCTCAGTGTTTCTGCACTCCCATCACCATGTATGTGCAAGCAATAGGCCAGGGAAACTTCTAATGGGTGATTTAACAACTAGTTTTTATTAAAGTGCTGCAGGAAAAGTGGATGAGAAGGGGAGGGGAGAAGGATGCTGCAAAAGCAAGGAGACACCCAAAAGTTGAACCTGACCATTTTGCCCTTCACCTAAAGTTCCAAGTGCCAGGCTGATCATCTGCCTTAATTCCCTAGATTTGACCGCCTCTGTGTGACCAGCACCCCAGATTACATTAACAGGAAATCAGATCTACGGTCAGTGGCAGCAGAATCTTTTTTTTTTCCTTTGCTTCTGACAGTCTTCCAGTTTTGCTCTGTTTTGACACTGAGCAGAAATTAAAGGAATAAGACACAAATTTAAACTTTGGTGAAGCTGAGCACCACATAGTTTAACTTTGTGGGCTTTGAATCGAAAGAATACAGACAGCAGAGCTGTATCACCCAGCGGAGAACACCTCCAAAAAGTGTGCCCGACAGTTTTTCTTTAAAAAATAAAAACCCCAAAAATGGTTTTATTATTCCAAGAGATCAATTTTAATAAGACCCTTTATACACATGTGCTACTACTGAGAATTACACATCAAAATCTCACAAAGTTTTTCAAAGGCCTGTAAGTGTAATTTTCTAGGAACAGAAATTTTTAAAGGGCTAGAATTCTGAGGACTATGTTTTGAACTTGGAACCTCCAGTAGTTCCGCCTGAGAACCCTAACAGCTAACTCAGGAAAACAGCTGCAACTAGCCACTGGGGAGGAGGAACACTGGGGAGGAGGAAGTGCATAGATTTCTAACTTGTTCAACATCTTGTTGGCTCTGATTCTCATATTGCTTATAACTCTAGAGGACAGATCAACTAGTTAATTCATAATTCAAAAGAAACCAGGGCTGGGAAAGTGGCTTAGTGGTAGAGTGCTTGCCTAGCATGCATGAGGCCCTGGGTTCAATTCCTCAGCACCACATAAAGAGAAAGGGCCAGAAATGGCGCTGTGGCTCAAGTGGTAGAGCCCTAGCCTTGAGCTGAAGAGTTGAGGGACAGTGCTCAGACCCAGAGTTCAGCCCCCACAACCAACAAAAAAAATATATTTTTATTGTCAAATATTTTAAATGCATAAAGTAACTATAGTATTTCTATTGTTTTACCACAAACATTCATCCCTAAGCAATATATTGTTTAGTTTTGCCCTGTCTCTTGGACTTCATGTAAATGTAACGTAATATATAATCTATTATGTTTGTTGCATTTGCTTAACATTGTTTTAATCCATTGGCTATTTGGGTTGTTCATACAGCTGTAATTCATACACTTAAATTGCCATCTATTACAGTGTTCTGTTGTACCAATATGTGACAGTTTAGGAATTCTGTTAGTGATGTCTGCTTGTTTAGTTTGGAGTTATAATAAATGTTGTCAGCATTCCTCAGATATGTATCCATCCACCATCTACATCAGTTTCTGTATGGTCTATACTTGGGAAGGTATCATAAACTTGAATAAATAATGCTATACTGTCTTCTTCTAAGGTAACACCCTCACAGCACTAGCCAGGTATGAGTCCCATTGCTCCACTCCTCACAACACTCAGTATTGTCCACCCTTTTCATTTTTGCAGCTGAGTGGATGTGCAGTAGTGTCTCACTTTGGTGTTAAATTACATTTTCCCAGTGACTGACACTACTGAGGATCTTTTCATATGTCAGCTAGCCATTTGTGGAGCATATTGTTATTTGAATACCTGATCTCTGAAATAAGTTTTCAGTATCCTTTTGTAGTCCACATTTGAACAATGAAATTCGGGTAATGCTATCAAATAAGGCACGTTTGATACATGGCTTTCCAAAATAAGAATAATTGTAATTTATCAAATGATCTTTAATTAATGTGACTAACTTCTTAACAGTAAGGTTCTACAGTAACTTTTTTTAAGATCTTTATCTTCCAAAATACTGATCTTTCAACTGTACTAGAATTCTCTCATGATAATTTTTGGTTTTGTTGTATTTTAATTTTTCCCAGATATCTTAAGACAGTTTTATTCTTTTGAAGACATATAAGTAAAGCTTCTGATGTCTTTGTTTATTTGTGTTTTGCTTACAGGCAAGTACATTAAAAAAAAAACCTTTTCCCACCACAGTTATTTCATTTCCCAAGTTCATTGATTTTTATAAAAGTCACATTGGTTCTTTTTTGCTTCTTCTAAAGTTCACTTAAAATACATGTTGTTGCTGCTGTTTAATTCCCCGTATTACTATAAAACAAACCACTGATTACTCTGCCTGGCCCATTTTTCCCAGCATATTCCATTTGATTATTTTCTTACCTCTCATTCTTTGTTTAGAGAGTGATATTTTAAAATCGGAGGAAGCTGAGACCCAGAGAAATTAAATGACTTACACAGAGTCAGGAAAACAAATAAATAGGAAGCCTGGGCTCCACCCCCATGTCTTCAAATGCAGTATACTTGCCATTTTCTCATATTGGCTCAGTCTTCGGGAGCAGTCAACTAAACTAATTCCCAAAGTCTATACAGCTCTGTGTTTCTTAGGTCCATTTCTGTCCAACATTCCTCCTGTAGATGACCTTGAGCTTTCTTCCAGCCCAAAGTCTTCCCTCTCCTTGAATTTTTCCCAACTTTTTAAGAATCTTCCAGAGCACCCTTGAATGTCACAGTTTGTGTTGGATCTTACTTTTTACCCACCTTTGGGGCCACCAGACTGCTTTTCACCACTAGAATTCATTCTTTGCTTTCCTTTACCAGTGTTGTTTTGTTATTTAACAATGTTATTTTGACATTTAAACCTTCATACACAAAAAAGTGCAAGATGCCCACATTTTTTTTTTTTTTTTTTTTGCCCAGATGCATCAGGGTACAATCCTCACATCTCTGGGATTATAGCCTCCAGAAAGCTCAATGTGAAATTACTATGGACCTGGTTACCAAATCCAACAGCTTTTTCAAGCAACAACTGACACTGGATTCTTCTGTGAAATTCTTCACAGATAAAAATAATGAGGCTTTGAGTGCCAGTGGCTCATTCCTGTGTTCCTAGCTACTCAGGAGACTGAAATCTGAAGGTCTCGGATCAAAGCCAGCTGGGGCAGGAAAGTCCGTGAGACTCATCTCCAGATAACCACCAAAAAGCTGGAAATGGAGCTTGGCTCAAATGCTAAGGTGCTAGTGTTGCACAGAAAAGTTTAGGACCAGGCTCAGTCCCTGAATTTAAGCCCAGGATCAGAATGCACACACCCAAAGTAATACAGCCTAGTGACAGACTGATTGTGAAGGATGGAATATGTTTTAAACCAATCTTTCTCCCACTTAAGCTCTTCTTAACATAATTTTTAAATTATTTTATTCTGTTTGCCAGTCTTAATCTGATCCTTAAATTATTAGGCTCTAAATAGTCTCATTCAATTTTTGCTTGTTGTGGTTTGCCATGTAGGAGGAGCAAACAATCTTTTTCTAGCCACATAGAAGGATTATTTCCCAGCCTCCCTTGCTGGGACCTTGCAGTTAAGCTGGCCAGTAGAATTCGGGAA